AAAAAAAAAACATACACATCCCACAATGAAAGTGAACCTTCAAACCAAACTAACAGCCCAATAATTGTACCCAAATGGAGACCCATTGCTTTGGTGGTTTTCTTAAATCAATAGGATTTACTTGGAGAGCAGCCAACTGCCACAATATTAATGAAGAAAAGTCGTATGACATTTTTCATGCTGTCATATTCCTTTTTCCAGCAAGTTGAAAAAAGGGAAATATTCCCAAAGTGTTTGAAGATAAATGAAAGAGATTGATAGAGTTTAATTTTTCATCTCTCTATTTCACATGGTGGCATTTAATGGTTGCACCAAACACTCAAGAAAAACATACATATATGTTGATGTGTGTGTATTGATATGATATATAGTTTTAAAACTTTTTTTTGATTTTGTTAGAGGTGTAAACGAATCGAACCAAATCTTTATGTTCGAGCTCAAACTTGAACCTTTTCAAGTCAAAAAATCGTTGACTAAAAAAGCTAATAAACAAGTCAAATCTCGACTCATTTATGATGAACTCGAGCCTTAAGGAGCTCTGCTCGTTAGCTAAAGATCTCGAATTTTGGCTCGTAATCAAATAAGACGAGTCGTGTTGGGTTCACAAACGACCCATTCAACTGATTTAAGATATGAATGTGAAGTTCATCTATCTATTGTTGTTCAATTAATTAAGCTATTTGACACTCCTCATTTGTACAACCATTTTATTTAGATCATCTCCAATGGCACAATGTCTATCCTCCCTATATATAATTCCCGAATGCGCTGAGCCTACGTGCCTGTTTCTGGTGCTTCGGAATCCTACTTGGCGAAGAATCATGCTTCGTAATTAGGTTTGGACAAATAATATTGATATATTAATAATTAATAATTTAGGTTCGTACATTCCATAAATATTATTTAGCTAACTTAGGTATTTTAATATCACTTTTACTAATATAACCCTTTAATTCTTTGTAATTTTATATATTGAGACACTAAGTGACTAATATATCCCTGACTTTTGATTTGTTTCCTTCAATTAGCTATTGAATTGTAAATTTATTTTAAAAGTTGATAACTTTTGTATTTCATATCAATTTTACATATATGATATATCAAATTAATCTTCTTTTTATGATCTTGGATTTGACATCCATATTGTGTATATGAAATAAATAATTTTATTTATCTTTATAATAATATTTATTAAAAATCATTAGAAAAATAAAATTATTTATCAATTGATATATTTATGTTTAATGTAAAGTGAGACACTAAGTGACTAATATATCCCTGACTTTTGATTTGTTTCCTTCAATTAGCTATTGAATTGTAAATTTATTTTAAAAGTATATAACTTTTGTATTTCATATCGGTTTTACATATATGATAAATCAAATTAATCTTCTTTTGATGATCTTCGATTTGACATCCATATTGTATATATGAAATAAATAATTTTATTTATCTTTATAATAATAAAAAATAATAATATTTATTAAAAATCATTAGAAAAATAAAATTATTTATTAATTGATATATTTATGTTTAATGTAATTATATGTTGTAAGTTAAAAAAATTATTATAATATAACACAGGTAAGTCGCACAAATAAAAAAGTGTCATACTAAATATATAATAATATATATATTTTTATAAAAGGTATTGAAATTTTCAATTAATTTTTCTCATTAATTTTATATTTTAAGAAAAAATTAGCAAGCACCCGTGTAATACACGGGCGTTGTACTAGTTTTGATATGTACGTTGTGGAGAAAAGAAATAAAAATCGTTTGTCTCCAATGGTGGATGTAATTGTAGATAAATAGACATTTGCAAGAAAATAATTAGTTGGTGGAGAATGATATATAAAATAAATAATATAATATAGATAGAATATGTCTAGAAGTCTTTCTACATCTAGAAAGACTTCTAGAAGTTTTACATGTCACATTAGATTTTTTGGTCTATGTGACAATGGAATGGAACAATGCACAAGTCATTGAAGATGTTCTTATCTATCATCATTTTAGTATGACACACTAGTTTCTATAATTATTAGCCTGTTACAGCAAGTTTTGTCAGGTGTACCAGGAAATTAAAGAAATGTATAGAAAGTTGTTCTAAATTTTATTTATCATCATTTTAGTATGACACACCAGTTTCTATAATTATTAGCCTGTTACAGCAAGTTTTGTCATTTGTACAAGGAAATTAAAGAAATGTATAAGAAAATTGTTGAAGTTTTTTAATGTAGTTAGAAAACAAAGTAGGTGTGAATTAATTATAATTTATTTAATTTTTTTTTGCTAGGTAAAGGTTAGGTTCTAAACATGATTTTATTACACAAAACCTACTTTACAAGTTTATTGGTTTTGGGTCCAAACATGATTTTATTACACAACCTACTACTGTATAAGTTTATATTAAATGAGATTGGGTGAGTTTTTATTGGCATTTTCTTTATATTAACTGAGATTGGGTACAAAGTTTGTGTAGGCTCATACTATACCCTTCACCTACACATTAAATATTGATATTCTTCACATATATGAAAATACTGAGCATTAATGTTTGGTTAATTAAAATCATATTATTTTGTACCAAAAAAAAGAAAAAATCATATTATTTTTAGACAAAATTGCCTTAATATCATGACCTTTTTCGAAATTTCAATTAATCACAATTTTTTTACTTTTGCAAATCATATCACAATCTTCAACTTGTTGCAAATTGGTGCACCAATTTGCATATCCTGTGGAAACTATATCAAAATTTTTAATTTGTTGTTCAACCACATCAATTTTTTATGACTGTTTTCATACTTTTTGCAACAAACTAAAGATTGTGATATAATTTGCAAAAGTGAAAAAAATTATGATTCAATTACAACTTGATAAAGGTCGTAATATTATGAGCAAATTTGTTTTATTTTTATCTCTATGTGTTGTTTTTCTAATTTGATTGATTGCTGGTTAATTAGCTTATGTAGTTGGTCCCATTGTTTTTAAACCCAGCTCAGAAATCAACTCGGACAGGTCTCCGGGTCACCGCTTCAACCGCTGGGTGACCAGGTCAATTGCTGAACCGGATAATTAATTTTAAATTTTTTTAAATTATATATATAGTATTTTTGACATATAAATATACATAAAAGTACCAAAAAAAAAAATATTTGGATATAGAATTTGTACATCAAAGTGTTAAAATAATTATATCTCACAATAAATATTTATTATATCAATATATTGACATAGTTTTTATTTTTTATATAAAAAAATATTTTTAAAAAATATAAAATATATAAAGACCGGGTCAACCGAGTTGACCCGATCGGGTCAATGGCCCGAGTCGACCGGGTCACTGCCGGGTTGGGTGGGTTTTGACCGGGTTTCACCGGGTTCATTGTTACCCGGTCTAAATAATCTACTCAGACCGGTTCCGACTCCGGGTCCGGGTCGACCCGCCGGGTCATTCCGGGTTGAAAAACAGTGGTTGGTCCATTGCATTACTTTTTTTTTATAGATAAACTTATTATTAATTAAAAAAATAATCAATCAATAAAATCAACACAATCTAGTTATATTTAGGCAAAATAGCTCGTTATATCACGACCTTTCACCATATTGCTAAATCATCACGACTTTTGGACCTTGCCGGAGAATATCACAACCTTTGATGTCTTTGCAAAACGATACACGAAAGTCAGAAACCGACCATATTTGATACACTATGAGGGAAGATTTGTAACTATCGAGAACAATAAAGAGTGTTTCGAATGTGATGATACTTTCAGATTTTCTTGAAATGATTTTAAATAATGTAACAAAGTCCGGTTTCTGACTTTCGTGTATGGTTTTGCAAAGAAATAAAAGATTGTGATATTTTCCGCAAAAGTCTAAAAGTCGTAATGTTTTAGCAATTTGGTAAAATGTTATGATATAACGAGCTGTTTTGTCTTATATTTACTGCTATTACCATTGCTAGGCCTTCAATTTTTTACTAGAATTAGTTGAAGTTGAACCATCAATACTTTATTATCTCTGCCCTAAAATGATGAGCTGTTCCAGCATTCATATAATTCGTGCATTTAATTATTATCAAACATCTCAACTACCCATTCTTTCCATCTTGAGAAATTAAGGTTGAAAAAGTAATAGTAATAATAATTATGTTTGCCCATTTTAAATTATTTCATTTTCTTAACAGAATTAAATAATTTCATACCTAAAATGGGAAATTAATTTGGTAACGAAATTTCCCTAAGAATATAGAAATTAAACTTACTTTGATAGCTAAAACCCCTTTTAAAATTTCTCATAATTACTTGAAAAATATTTAAAAAAAATAAAATAAATAAAGTGTCACAACTACACAAACATAATTCCATAAGACTACTATCAAACTTAGAAAATCACATTTTTTAATAGATACTCATATTTTTTTTTCAAATTGAAATATCTTCTAAGAAAATTAAATTATAAAAATATATCACGAATCGACCCGTCTAACAATTAACATATCCAAAATTAATCAATATTCTCAACCCTTTATACACCAAAACATAAATATCAATTGAGTTAGCTCATCACCTTCATCAAATATCAAAAGCCTCATGAAAACTTCACCACCACACATTAGTCATTACCCACCCACTCCTTCATATATATTTTCCCGTTACAATATACCCTAAAATCAAACAAAAAAATATATAAAAATAACACATCATTTCTCAAAATGACGAAACTAGCCCTTCACCATCGCCCTGGCGAAATAAAATTACCGATATGACCTCAATATGGCGCCACAGAAAGTGCACATAATTGCCCTCCAAGTCCTCCAATAGAAAGGCACGTAGCAGAACCTAGTCGCCGTCTTCATGTCCGCCACGCTGGCGCCGCCGCCGCACCTCGAGCATATTCCGGCGGCCGGCTTGCTCTGCCTCACTTTCCTCGTCTGGTCAACCAAAAAACAGAAGCACACCATCTTTTTTTTTCTCTAACCGGATTTTGGGCTTCTTTTTTACAACTGTGTGTATTTGTGTAGAGGCAGTTACGTCTTTTTTTTTTTTTTTTCAAACTAAGGTTGTGACTTGTGAATTGTGTTATGGTAAAGCAAAAGGGAATTGAAGAGTATTTATAGGCACAGTGAGTGTTAAATGTGGGTCAGAAGTTGTTGTGAAGGTGTGTTGACTTTTGTTTATTTAAATAGAAAAATAATTTTATGTGTACAAAAATAAATGAATGTCGTGTAGAGTGTAAAAACTCATTCCAAATGTGACAATTGATTGATGTAAAGTGTAAACATAAAATTGGTACATCACATAAAATTAGCTAATGGATATAAAATTGTTTACAATGCATAAATAATATTTGATCAGTTCCGTTACGGAACTATTTTGTCAGGGTTTGTAACCGTTAAACCAATTATTCACGACGATTACATAATGATCTAACAGTTATAAATCCCGACAGAATGATTCCATAACGGGATCGTAGCATTTTTTTATTTCATCATATCCATTTGTCTTGAAACAAAAAATATAGTATTTTTATTATGAGAATGAGTACATACGATTTTGGTCTTCAATTACACGTGTCTTACGTACATGAAAATTTATGGCATGGAATGGGTTTCATAAACCTTTGTGGGGCTTGAATTTGGGCCCTAATTGTGCTTTTGTCTACAAGGTCCCATTTGAATGTAGTGGGTTTTAAATGAAAGGATAAAGTAGGTAATGGACAGTTAGGGTTGGCATTTTCTGTCCAATTTGGGCCCATAACTCCATGCATAACCTTGACAAGCCTTATTATTATTATTATTATTATTATTATTATTATTATTATTATTATTATTATTATTATTATTATTATTATTATTATTATTATTATTATTATTATTATTATTATTATTATTTATCTTGCTAAGTTACCCACTAGCCTAACCACCATGGCCCCATACCTCATTTGTATTTTTTATTGTTTTAAATAAAAAATAAATACTTATAATTTTATTTTCGTTGTATTTTGAAATTCGAATATATGCATATCTGTTGAGTATAATTGTCTAACAATTAAATTTGCCTAATTAAAATCTTAATGTTATTTATCAATTTTCATTAGTTTATACTTAATTATCTCTAATCTAGGAAACAATTTTGTTAGTTCAAAGAGATGCATACATACATACATACATACATACACAAAATTCAGTTGGGAGTTGGGATAACTTCTTGAAAGTGATTCCAGGGCTAACATTGGGCCATACAACTGTACTATGGTACGTGGTGCAAGTTGTGATACTCCACGCTTTTTTGGTTTAACTGTAATCTGGGTGTTACATATCCATCAGTTGGCCCATTTGGGCCCATATGTAGTTCTCTCTTGCACTTGACAGGTGTCATTACTTTGGGGCCAAACCAATATCACAACAAATGGTGTTTAGATTATTCAGTAAAACAAGAAAATACTCAATACTAGACATGGCCACGGACGGAACCGGCCCATGAACCCGGAACGGCCCGAACTGACCCTGAACCGGCCACCTAATGGCCGGTTCGTTTAACCGGACCGTGATGGCCGCGGTTCGGTCCCGGTTGGCGCAAATTTTCTTTTTGTCCTGGCGGTTCGGTCTGGGTCAAGCCAGGCCGCGGGCTAAACGTTGGGCAACAGACATCTTTTTATTTTTTTTTATTATTATTATTCTACGAGTCGGGCGAGCCGGAGAACCGGTGGGACATTAATGTTAATTAGGAAACATGTATCTCATTTTTTTTTTCGTGACAGTTCGAAGCCGTGAGTTGCAAAAACCTGGGGCGATTTGTCGGGTACATATCGGGGTACGTTTGGTACAACATGGAGTACATGGTATTTTAATATTAAATATTAATTGAATCTTCAGTAAGGAAGGAACATGACAATACTAATTAAAGAATGTTATATTAAAAGGAATTATGAGCATTCGTTGATATAACACGAGTTTAATTTCATTTTTATGACCGAACATAATAAAATAGCTAGTTTCAATTCTGTTCGTAGTGAGTTATCACTTGACTTTGTTCAGTTCTGAGTTGGATCTAAAAACTTTAAAGTTCGGTTCGACTCGTTTATATAAAAGAGTTGAGCCGAACTTGATAAACAGAGTTGGTTAAAGGAGTTTCTTATTTTCGACTCGTTCGGCTCAACATTTTTTATGGGTTTTCAAACGAGTTGTTAAACGATATTTTTGTGAACTTGAATGAAAGAGTTGAGTAGAACTTGTTCGCGAACAACATTTTTTCAGAGTTTAAAGTTTATTAAATGAGCCAGCCAAACCGACCCAAGCTTAAACAAACTGAATAAAGCCGATTCATTAATATAAAACGAGCACAATCTTCTGAACTTAATTAAGTTGTGAAACCACTCAAAATTGAATTTTATTTTAATTTCATAACCCAATATCTTCTATTTTTTCTACTCCACCAAATATCATACCATACGAAATCATATAGATGATTATCACTACAGACTCGACCAATCCAACTTAAATATTCATTAATAAAAAAAAAACCGCTTCTTTATTTCAATTATCAAAAGGAGCACAAGAACACGAAATTGAGCTCAAGAACACGAAATTGAGCTCAAGAAAACAGAAACAAGAACAAACCAGACAGATCAAAGACCAACCAATCTAAAACAATAGCCTCATGAGTAACTCTAACTGGCTATAGCCTTAATCATTTCTAATCGCGGCACGGATACTTCTTGTGGGGCTCAAAGGCGAAGGGCCCGGCAGTATAAACCGCAAAATGTGGCGGCTTCTTGTGTCGGCCCTTGACCGGTGACTCGAGGGCCGGGACAAGAATAGCGCCGGACGAGCTGTGGTTGAGGTCGGTCGGGAAGCTGCATTGAGGGTCCGGAGAGTGGATCAAGAACACCCGGCAATATCGGGCATCGGCTGCCATCATCTTTAGCGGCTTGAACGAGAAGTAGCCGTCTTTCTTGGTTTTCCTCTCCAGCACGAAACTTGTCATCGTGTTGTTGCAAACCAGCCTCACGAGTGCCCCTGCATTACAAAAATAGGACAACGAGAAAACGTGTAAGAAGTAAAAAGTAAAAACGATCATGTAAGTAATTAACATGTGTAACTATGCATGTGTCGAATAATATGAAGTCGCATTTGGAATTTAATTAATCACCTGCAAGAGGAGAAGCCCCAGTGAGAGTTTTCTTTCCCCTGTTCCTGCAAGATTTGCAGTAAACGACTCCTTCGACAGCAATCGGACCTTCGGGATAAGGATTAGTTAGTGGTGGCGTGGGTGGTTGAACCACTGGCGGTGGCGATGTCGGTGGATGAACGGCTGGTGGTGGTGATGTGGGAGGATGAACAGCTGGCGGAGGCGATGTGGGTGGATAAACAGCTGGTGGCGGCGATCTAGGTGGATGAACAGCTGGCGGTGGCGATCTCGGTGGATGAACAGGTGGTGGTGGGGATGTCGGTGGACGAACAACTGGTGGTGGTGATGTGGGTGGATAAACAGTTGGTGGCGACGATCTTGGTGGATGAACAACTGGCGGCGTCGATCTCGGTGGATGAACTGGTGGTGGCGATCTTGGTGGATGAACAACTGGTGGTGGCGATGTCGGTGGATGAACGGCTGGTGGTGGCGATGTCGGAGGATGAGTGGCTGGTGGTGGCGATCTTGGTGGAGGAACAGCTGGTGGTGGTGATGTCGGTGGATAAACAGCTGGTGGTGGCGGTGCCGGAGGATGAGTGGCTGATGGTGGCGATGTCGGAGGATGAGTAGCTGGTGGTGGCGATCTTGGTGGATGAACAACTGGTGGTGGCGATGTCGGTGGATGAACGGCTGGTGGTGGCGATGTTGGAGGATGAGTGGCTGGTGGTGGGGTGGCTGGGGGTGGGGATGTCGGTGGATAAACAACTGGCAGCGGCGATCTTGGTGGATGAACAGCTGGTGGTGGCGATGTCGGAGGATGAGTGGATGGTGGTGGCGATCTTGGTGGATGAACAACTGGTGGTGGCGATGTCGGTGGATGAACGAATGGTGGTGGAGATGTTGGAGGATGAGTGGCTGGTGGTGGGGATGTCGGTGGATGAGTGGCCGGTGGTGGGGATGTCGGTGGATGAGTGGCTGGTGGTGGGGATGTCGGTGGATAAACAACCGGCAGCGGCGATCTTGGTGGATGAACAACTGGTGGTGGCGATGTTGGTGGATGAACGGTTGGTGGTGGCGATGTCGGAGGATGAACAGCTGGCGGCGGCGATCTAGGTGGATGAACAGATGGCGGCGGCGATGTGTGAGGGCTCTCCACTGGCGGTGGAGTTGGTGGCCTGACTGGCGGCTCTTCCGGTGAGACCTTGATCACCGGAGGCGGCAAGTTCGAATTGTTGGATGGTTTCGGTGAGTTACATGGCGGCTTTGGGACGGGTGCCGGTGAGTATTGTGAAAATGCGGTGGTGGAAAGCATGAGGGTAAGGTGCAAAAGCCATAGGGCATTTGGGAGGTGAACAAAAGCCATGGGTGAGAGTGTAGTGAGTTGGTCCGTCCAAGAGTGTAGTGTATTTATAGGGGTTTTGTGTGNNNNATTATTTCTTGATTATTTTTTCTGGTTTGAAATTTTTTATTGAAATAGATTGGGTTACTATTTAAAACCATGCATGAACTAGGGTTTGCTGATTTTGCGTGCATGCTCTGTTTGGCATGTATATTACCTCTGAGTTGGATGTAAAATTTATTGCATATTGTCATTGATTGTGGCCTTTAATGTTGACGTGTAGATGGAATAAACTCGGTTAATTAAAAAAACATTTAAATATTTCTGTGTGAATAAAGGCCTAACAATGAAATATTAGATCAATACATTATATTTTGTAACAAAAATGCATATTTGTTTCATAATATGTTATAATTTGGATTTTGTTTGTACAATTTGAACATTAGTGACTGAAAGAGTATTTTGAGTGACGCTTGCATATCAGTAGTCGTA